TGAAATCTGATTGGTCACCCCAAGTACCACCCCATTATCCTTTCTCTTCAGTGTTTCAGAGGCTATGGCGAGGTCCGTTTTAAAGAAAGCGGGATAAAGAACGCTCCACAGTTGGGCAAAATTTTGGCAAATGGAAAAACTGGCATGCCATTTTCAAAGGGATCCCTTGACCTCTGACCTCAAAATATCTGAATGAAAATGAGTTCTATGGGAGCCCACAAATGATGCTAAGCCCATGCAGTTTTTTGCATGTTGTATAAATGTGTTATTTTCACCTAGTGTATTTGAATATTTCTGCATGCTGGGGTCCATAAACAGTGTTTGAACTGCATACATTGGGGATGAACGGAAAGCTGAGACACATACTTCAAAGTGTCAGCTCCACTTGTGACACACATTCCTTTAATCTTGAAGAAGTCTCAAGAACTTATTTCATTTTTACCAAAAATAATAAAATCCTGATGAAGTCCTTACAGTACTTCATTATAATGCTGATGGTCACACAGTTTAGCTTTAGCAAACAGATTGCAGCTTCTGTGATTTGGTTATTGTTCTCGACCATATTGTGATTTCAATAATAATTCAATATATCTCTACTTTGATTAAGTCCAGCTTATACAATAAACACAGAACTTTTTTTTGTTTCTGATCTCTAATCAAATAAAAACAGGTAGGAGTCGCTGTAATCATTTGTCCTGTCCATAAAGAGACATCACTGACTCCATTTAACCAAAAATCCACAAATCACTTGTCGTCTGAGGGGTTTGCTGCCAGAACAAAATGCACACAATAGACTCTTTTCACATTTTAACTTAGGAAGTCTCACATTAGCTCTGAACTGTAGAATGCACAGACTAAGGACTTTAAGTGCAACACACAAACTGTCTGCAGATGACGTGAGAAGCGTCACATCAATTAACAGCCCTGTGCTCAAAAAATGTGTTATTGCAGGTTTAAGCAGCTATAGGGCTGTATGGAGAGAAGGGATGATCACAGCAGCCCATCATCTCACAACTATAATAAGCCAAATGTGTGTGTGTGTATTCCACAGAGGTCTCCTGCTGCACGCCCAAAGATTCTCTCCTGCACAATGACATCCCCCCTCACCATCATTGTCCAGCACCGAGCCCACGGCTACAGCAGAGAGCCCAGTCCTCCTCCTCGTCCTGTTCTCTGTCTCTCAGAGCGGGCCGACTGCATCTCCCGTCTTCTCCAAACGCCTCCCCTCTCTCCTTTTTAGGCCACCGTCTGGAGGCTTACAGCAGAAGCCCCGCAGAAGCCTACAAACCAGTCGAATCCTGTACCAAAGTGAACCTGGAAATCCAGCGCGTTGCAGGAGACCACAGGAGGAGAGAGAGCCTCCTTTCTCCGTCCCTCCCTCTCCTGGCCCTCTTCCCAGCCATCGCTCCCGGCGGCCAGGAGAGCTTTGAGTGTTTGGACTGTCATGAAGAGCACTTGAGCTTCTCAGGCCTGGCCAAACACAAGCAGCTCCAGTGTGAGTGGAGCAGCAAGAAGTACTTCAGCTGTAAGTACTGCGAGAAGGAGTACGTTAGCCTGGGAGCGCTCAAGATGCACATCAGGACACACACGCTGCCCTGTGTGTGTAAACTCTGTGGAAAGGCGTTCTCCAGACCCTGGCTGCTTCAGGGACATATACGAACACACACAGGTCAGTGAAACACACACATCCACACATTTAAGGGTCAGCGCATTAGAAAGTAAAAAAACCCCTCTTTATTAAAGGGGCACTCAACTCATTTTATACATGAAGGTCAGTCCATTAGTCATGGTGTATGGAAGCCCATTTCTGCCATTGTGATGGAAACAACTGGACCTTCTATAATCATTGTATTCAATCAGTTGTATAATGTCTTGTATTTCTGGAGAAGTCAAGTCTGAGGAAATAACCCTGATTATGTCATAGGGGTGTCTAACACTGCACATGTTTAACAGGAAGCTGTGTTACAAACAAACAGGCAAGAGAGGTCCAAGGAGCAGATAGTTCCTACATGAAACTGCTCACAACAAGGTCTGTGGATTTTCTCCAGTAACTGGGGCATGGTTTCTGGAAAGAGACATTGCTGTTGAGGTTTTTTCTTTTTTTGTGTGGCGCTTTGAGCTCCATAAGCCGAGGGCCATCTGCTTCCATTATCAGCCCCTTCAGGAAGTTACGATAGACAATAGACAATTAACGCCCCTGTGAATTCCGTGCAACCTTGCAACTTTGACCAATCACAGCAACTTTTCGGCAAATTTGACCAATCATTGTAGTTCCCTTCAAATTTTACCAATCATAGTGGCCCCCTGTGCAAAATGCTGAGCCATATGTCATCAAACGATTTTATTCTTAATAGAACAAGTTGCCATCAATTTTTATTATCACAAACATATATATATAATATACCGCTACAGCTGATACTTCCAGAACTCAGCAACTCACACCAAAACTATCTAGATGGATAAATAGCTCTACAGGAAAGAGGAAAAATGTGCATTTTTGATTTAGGGGTGAACTGTCCCTTTAAGTAATTTACATTCCTGGTAACGCTAGTTCACCATAGCTTGTGTCCAACCCTGGTGGAGTGAGGGGTCATGAAGGAGGGTCGGCCATTCAAACCCGTCATTCTGACTGACATGAATCTCCGTGTTCCCTCTGCAGGAGAGAAACCGTTCTCGTGTCTCCACTGCAGCCGAGCTTTTGCCGACCGATCCAACTTGCGAGCTCACCTCCAAACCCACTCTGAAGTGAAAAAGTACCAGTGTACAAGCTGCTTCAAGACCTTCTCCAGGATCTCATTGTTAGCCAAGCACCAAGAGGCAGGCTGCCCGCTGTCCTGACAGCCTGCAAACGTCAACCCGCTCCAAAACAGTTTTCTGTAGTTTCACTGTAGGCTCAACAACAGTGACTCTGGGCGGACCTGGTATGATCGTGTGGATCACAAAAATGTCTGAGCAGAGGAAAGAAGCTGTGCCGTGACACTTTGAGTTTATGACAGCCTTTTTCTTCCATCAAAAACAATGGGCCCCAATCACTAATACGTGCACAGAAATGTTCTAACTTGACACAGAAAATAAATGTGCAAGCAAAATTACAGTGGGATTAATGAAACATGCACACTGGCCAATTTTGGTAGCACTGTCCTTACAGTAGTAAATCAGAATCATTCTAAATTGACAGCATTTAGTTAAAAGATGTGTTTTATGGTCCAGTGGATTCCTTCAAATGTCATTAGGAGCACTAAGAGGAGCCAGAGGAACCTGATTGTTTCACACATTAGGATATAGTGAAAGTTTCAGCAAATATGACAAAAAGTCATTTTCTTATAAAAGTTACCTACTGAATGAGGCCCAGTGATTTTACAGAAGAAGCTTGACAAAATGACGTATTAACATGTGTAACTGCCTGTCAGAAACCACTTGTTTAGTTACCCAAGTGTGTGTGTTACTAACATGTATTTTTATTAGTTTGCAAGTTTACAATGCACAGATTGAGAACACTACAACTCGGCAACAGCCACAAATGAATGTTAATGTTTGCTAACAGTGATGGTAGAACTGACTGACCAGCACTAGTACTGTCAGTTGTTTCAGACAGTTACACTGTCTCAGCCATTATAGAGCCTTGTCACTCCCCCTCTGTGATAGGATGCTCCCCTGACCTCATCTGAGATGTGAATCAGAATCATTCTAAAGGTGGAATTACATGTATGTGTCCCATCGTCCATGTCTCCAGGTCTGGATTTATAGTAAGGTGTTGGACTTCCAATGCTGATATTACCCCCACAATGATGACACCCATCAAGCTGTATGTATCATTCTTTAACGCTCCAGTGTGTAGGATTTAATTGCACCTAGTGCTGTAGTTGCAGATTGAAATTATGCTGGCCATGAAACATGCGAAAAACGTGAGAGCAACTATTTAGAGCAACTATTTAGAGCCAAATGTTTGTCTGCTCTGGGCTACTGTAGAAACATGGCTGACTCCACGGAAGGCGACCCACCTGTGAAGATAAAAATGATTCATTCTAAGGTACAGAGCAGTTGTTATTTTCAGGTGATTATACACTAAAAAACTGCATTTTGTTTGAAATGCTCTTAAACTGTCTGAAACTTTAGAAGTACTGGAAAAAACTTTATGCTCTGTCAAAACACGTCATTTCATTGTATTAAAAATGTTTAATGTATATTTTTGTATTAAAAACGCTTGTTGACTTGATGAAATGTAACCCTGACCTTTTCATGTACTTGTTTCAGAGTGTGACAATATGAGGAAACAAATGGAACACTGGTGTTAGTAAGACCATAGAGAGGAAGTTTTTACGCTGGAAGTGATAAATCCAAACTTAATTTAATTATAAACAAATATAGTTTCACAATTATAGTTCTAACCACAATTCCTGTTGTGTCTTCTTAGTGACTAACAAATGAAAAACAGAGCGGAAGTGAAATCAGAACTTCCTAGTGTTAGGTTTGGTATTCAGGATTCAGATCACTCTAGACTGGTTTGAGGTCAAGGGTCTTTATTCACCAAAAACTGAGTAGTAGTGCAACTGTGGCTTGAAAAGGGCAAGTGGAGCAGGGCAGCAGGTCCTGAACAGTGGCAGCCGCGCTCCAAAACGATCCTCCAGGCAGCACCAAAACACTCAGGTGCAGGAATCTTGAAAAGAGGAAAAAAACACCAAGGCTTTAGTTCTGGTCCGACAGAGAAACTCACTCTAAAACTGACCAAAAACTTCTGATACTAAATTTGGCCTGAAGTACTCAACCTGAGAAGGTTAGGAATAATCTGGGCGACGAGTCTCAGGAAATCCACTTCTTAAGGCCAGGCACTGATGAGGATTGCAGCAGGTTGCAACTTCACCAGGTGATCAGCAGCCACTGCCAGGCATAACACACACCCACACAAGAACCACAGGAGAAACAAAAACAAGGAAAACCAAGGTCAAGCATTCAACTGTGAATCTAGTTCTATTCCAGAAGTAAGAATCATCCAAAAAAAGATAATTAAAATCCCACTGAAATTTGTTAACTTCGCCAATAACTAAATCCAGCCTGTACAAAAGAGGTGGAGTCCGTGGTTGAGCTCATTCACATTCATGTCTAACACAGGCAGAGAGGAGCAAATACATGTTTTTTAGTCAAAACTGTAAAATTGTCTTTAGCTACAGCTGTGGTGACCTTTGGGTATGTTAGATAGATATGGCAAGCAAGTGTCAGTGACGTACATTTTTCATGTGTAGTTTTTGTGTTCTCATAAACATAATCGTTGACTTACAAAAACCAAGGTTTTCAGTTTCTAATATAATGCTGTCCGATTCGAGGACGCTGAAGACCTTGAAGGAAAGGCCGAGGTGAGATTTGCATTGAGTTCTAAGATGACATATATTCCCTTAGGAACCATAAGTGTTCCGGCGATGGTTAATGTCACAGGACAAACTTGTAGTTTCATTAGTCACAAAAATTTTTTAGCACTCTAATGGTTTTCTCTTAAAGTAATTGTGAATAGTGTTTTCATTAGATGCCTTTTTTATTTCATCTCTGAATATATGAATCACTGTGTTTGCTATATTCCTTAGAATTTTAACCTTAGCAACATGTTGTACTTATTAACATTAGTCTTCAAACTATTAACCGTCAGATGCACA